CAACTAGTGTCAGTTGTGTGAGACACAAAATAAAATTTTTCCTGTTACACTATATTGGGAAGTACCACCAGGTTTAAATGTGCTATATACATATGCCTGCACAAATACAATTGTTAAATATTTTGCTTCTCAAAAAGCACAACAAAACAAACAGTCGCATCTTGCCAAACACATAACAACATCAGAAGAGACTACAAAACGTTGAAGAATCTAATTAAGGTACACTAAAGAGAAATTAATTATTATAAATAGAAGACTCTTTATTTGATACTTTTGGTCAAAAGTTCACAATGTCAAATTAATTAGTGTTAGTGAAAAGTCAAAAATTATAACTCCATATAGCTGTCCATGTGGGGTGCATGATCAATTGAAGGAAATGACCTAAAAGAAAAGGACAGATAAACAACAATTAAGATTAATTCAGTCATTTGTTTCCCATTGTGTATACAAACTGCAAACTTTTTTTTAACTTTGAACTGTTTTTCTAATATTATGCTACAACAACGTACGCCACCTGTTTTCTTGATCAATGTTGTGGTTTGCCTTTGTTTTTATGGTTAGTAATAATAAATTGACGTTACAACTTATAAAAATAACAAGACCATAATTTCAACCCTAATTAATTATTTGTCGTCACAAATCTTGGACCTTTCTTTCGATCCCACCTGCAGAAATTAAAGTCTAACTTCCAAATTTTGGATTTTGCAATACTCGTTTTTAAGCTTTGAAATTACCTTACCTGGCCTCTGAAGAAATTTACTAGTACTACTAAAAACAACAGCCCGATGTACAAAATATCTGGCATTCACACAGAGTCCATGGAAGGGCCGCAATCCAAGGGTTGGTGTGATGCAGACAGCCTATTCTAATGCAAGCACAAGTGCTGCTTGCACTAGGGGTGTTCAAAGGAAACCGACAAACCGCACCAACCCGATAATCTGAGTCAAACCGAGAAAAAAAAACCCGACCATGGTTTAGTTTGATTTGGTTTGGTGTTGGAAAAACAAAACCATCCATAATTGGTTGGTTTGGTTTTAACTAAAGAAAGTCAAACTGAAACCAAACCAACCCGACAATACATATATAGAAATTTTAGATATATTTAATATATAAATATACTTATTGTGATGTAATTTATAAATATTTCTTAAAAAAGTTCATAATTTTATTTTTAAGGTATTATTTCAAGGTTGGACTTAGAACTTTTGAATGCTCCAATAAGTTTTATAGCCATTAATATTAGTAAATTTAATAAGAAATTTTTACCTCCTATAGCAAAGGTTAACACCTTATTTATTTTAAATAAATACCATTTAAAAAAATTATATTCTATAGATACCTTTTAAGGTTTATAGTAAAATATTTAATTTTGATTACCTCCTAGCCCTAAGAAACTAAATACGCTATTCGGTTACATATTTTCTTTCTCTCTCTACTTCGATACATCCCATTCTCTTCCTCCATCCCATTAAAATTTTCGCTCTCCTCCTCCTTCTAACGGCATCTTCTCAACTGAAAAAATTTCCCAATAATAATTAATTGCATATTATATATTTTCAAACAACGGTGCACTCAAAGTATTGTACTTTCTGAGCAAGGGATCTATACATTGCTTGGTCCTCAAGTTGAGAGGTTGTTCATTATCGATATCAAAAAGCAGTTTCCACAGATCTTTGATCAAATTCCGATATGTCTACCGAAGAAGAAGCCGTCGGACGTCGTACGGCACTCGCCGGCTATCGGAAGAAGCTCTATTTGGCTACAATGCGGAAATTAGGGTTTGTTCTTGAGCAAAGACGACGGAGTTTGGGGCTGAGCAACTTGATTTTCTGTTAATATATTTCAATGTATTTTCAACGTATCACGTTGTATTTTCATATATTTCATTGTATTCATTGTCTTTTTTCCATTATAATTCAATGTATCTCACTGTATTCCGTGTATTCGTTGTCCTTTTTTCCATTATAATTCAATGTATCTCACTATATTCCGTGTATTTCATTGTATTCACTGTCTTTTTTTCATTGTTTTTCAATGTATCGTTGTATTCTATGTATTTCATTGTATTCATTGTCTCGTTATATGCCATGAATGTATTCATATATTTTTTTTAATTAATATAATTTATGTATTCAGATGTATTATATAATTTCTCTGAAGATTGCTATGTTTTTGGGGTATTTTTCAGTTGAGAATCTTTTTTATAACCGGAAATACAAATTTTGTGTGTTATAATTGAGTTATATTAGAAGTCTATTATGTTAATTGATACACTTTCCGTTAAAACAGTGTAATCCCCTGTTTCACGCCATGAATACAGTCGAATACAGTAATCTGTTCAGCTGTAATCCCATGTTTCACGCGATGAATACAGTCGAATACACTCGAATACAACAACTGATTAGTTGGACTTCCCTCATTCACGCCTATTTTTGCTACTGTATTCATGAATACAGTAGCTTAAATACATCAAATACATCTTATAACCACAGAAAAGGTATCTATAATCCGTAATATAACAAATGGTATCTATAGATGGCTAATTACTACTAAAAGATAGTGCTTTATGAAAATTTCCCATTAAATAATACTAACAAAAGCCCAAACCAAAATCAAATCAATACTAATGCTAACAAAAGACATTCAATTCAACACTACGAAGGTGAATGTACTAAATATCCATTTTTTGTTTTGCAATAATTTAGATAAAAATTCATAACCTATTTTTATTTTTTCTTTAGCGTTTAGTCATGTAATTAGTACTCCCTTATTAGTCTACTTATTTTAACATATTTAGTACTTTTAGATTGTGTTTATTTTTATAAGGCTTTTTAATTAGCAATATTTATATTACATAATTTTATTGTCTTTATTGTTGAATATTTTAGGATAATGCCATGACACATCTTATATTTTTGTATTATTTTCTTGTAAAATAATTTATACTATTGTATCTTACTAGGATTAAAGAAATATTTTGAGCACAAGTTATATGTTTTGTTCTATAAATATTTTATCGGAAAAAACCCGAAAATTCTGAAAATCCGAGAAAACCCGAGATTGAGAAACCCGAGTTTTATTGGTTTGGTTTGGTCTTTAGATTTAATAACCCGACATAATTGATTTGGTTTGATAATTGTAAAATCTGAACTAACCCGACTGACCTATGTATACCCTTAGCTTGCACGGCTCGAACCCGTAATCTTTAGATCACAAAGAGAATACTTTAGTGTCGTTCCAAGGCCCCACTTCCAATTAGTTAGTACTATATACTCATAATATTCTCGTTGATGAATTAAAAGGTTTTTTTTTTTTTTTCTCTAGATTTCTTGTTAAAGTTTGCCAAACGTGACTCTTTGCTGTCTATCGCTAGATTCCTTTCTTTGTTGTCATGCTAGTTCTGGAAGACTTTGTTAAAGATGCCATGTACGGTAAAGAATAAGAATTAAGAAATTTTATATTCTGATTCAAGAAAATCCTTTCAGTGGAATTGCTTTTTTCAATCTTCTACTAAAATTAAAAATTAAAAAAAGTTCAAAATAAATGCAACAAGGTCTGTCCATGTAACGACTATTACCTAATCAAAAAGACGCAAAGATATGCATAACTTAACAATAAAGAAAGATTAGTATTAACCAATAAGGTTATTGTAGATGTTAAGTACTCCATCATTCTTAACTAGAGATTTAGCATACGAGTTCTGAATATTGAGTTATCTTTTTTAGAGAGAACTTATCTTTATGTGAGACTTCCAACTTTAATCTGTATTAGTTGGGCACCAATTCGAGTATCCGACACATTGTAGGAACCAAAAAAAGATAATGTAGTGTCACATTGCTATCGAATTAAGTCAATAGGATCCTGGAGATATTAGCTTTCGGCAACTAAATCATTATAAAATTTTGCTAGTGGCAATTTTTATGGACTACAAAACAGAACTTTATGTTCCAAGAATTTCCAAGTTGTACGAGCGCATTATCCACTTCTCTTTCTTTTGTTTTTTCTTTTCTTTTCTGGTAGAATTTACCCCATTTTCTTCAAGATTGTAACTTAAAGAATATGAGTGATGTGAAGTCAATAATTAAGAAACGCAGTTTCCACTCCAAAAGTAATTGGAAATGGAAAATAGTAGAGTAAAAATCTGCTTGAAGATTCGTTTTACTTTTTGCTATTTGCCTAATAAGGAATAAAACTTATTTATTCTTATGCTTTTGCATAATCAAGTTGTAGACATCAAAATTTTATCGGATCAAATCCCTAAATTTAAGATGCTACAAGTAGAGTCTATCGAGGTTTTTTGTAGGCTACTTTATCTGAAATTCTAACTTGGAGGCTACTCTACCTGAAAACCTAGCTTGGGGACTCTACCCAAAACCCTAGCTACACCTATAAAAGGGGGCTACATATTCCATTTGAAAACATCTCGAAATTCCATAAAAAATATGGAATATTCACAAAAAGATCAAAGACATCAAATATTGTCTTTCTCAAAGTCGCTGAAGTGATCGACGGGTGTTCTTCCTTTTCATGGAGAGCAAATACATCCTAAGGAAGTTCGCATCATCCTACGTTCGAGAAATACGCTGGTTAAGCCCTCGAATCACGGAGAACGATCTAGAGAGAAGAATCTAGAAAACAAACAGAATTGTACCCACATCATTTTATTAATAAAATTATATTTCTTCATATTTATATTGTGGTTGCAATTTATATTTGTATCACAAATAATTTGTTGCAAACACAAGTAATGCTTTATTTTTAGGCGAAATACATAAATGGCCCCTTCAAGTTGTCCACAACGGTTATTTGAACACCTGAACTGACCTATTTATCAAGTAGACACCTCAAATTATTTTTTAGTGTATCTCTTAAACCCTTCAAAGTGACATGGCAAAATATGTGTACTACACTCCCATTGCAGCAAGTGAAGCTTTCAAAATTATGTTTATTTCTTTTCTTTTTTTAATTTATTTGGTGGAGCCTCTTTTCCTCACTCTTTCTCAAGTAAGAAGCTGCTTTCTTTGGGTGATTTTATTGTAAGAAAGTTTAGAACCAGGCAACCAAGTATTGCCAGGGTTATCAAAACTTTGCCAAAGTGGTGGTGTTGAATTCGACCTATCTCTCAAGATTAAATTACCATCATCCCAGGGAACTGCTACAACAGAATTGGACTTGTTGGAACTGATATTTGTGGACCAAATTGAAGTATTAGACCCATTAACCAGTACCAAATTACCATCTAAGATTTTTATCTCTGCAGAATTTTTATCAGAAACTGGTGTTTCCCCGTTTGCAACCCAAACAGGAGTTTGTTCATTCACTTTTTTGTACCATATGCCTATGTAATAGTTGGAGCTCGCCGGAACAGATAATCCCAGTACAATTAATGGAGCTCGCCGGAACAGATTTCTCGGCAAAAATCCGGCTAGCAAATAAGGTCAACAAACAACGACGCTACTGCCACGGTTACATCGGCTACTTCTAAAACCCGACTCAGAAGTAAAAACAACAGACCCAGAAATTCGAAATTTTGCAGCAACATAGACGATAAACAGGAAGTGGTTCATGATTGTTGCCGGCGGTCATGGCTGTTGCCGGCGTCCATGGCTATTACCGGCGTCAGTAGCTGTTTGGAAACGGCTGAAGGCACTTCGAGGAGGAAAGAGTCGTTTGGACAGAAGCAGCGGCGCCTTGGAGAGGAGGTTGGACGATTGGAATACTTAGGGGGATTAGGGTCTGCTCTTGGTTGAAGAAGAAGAGGGGGCGGCTGGGAGGTCTAGGTCTCTTAGGGTTTATTTATTATTATTGCTTTTTTTTTTTTGTTTTATAATAGGTGGAATTTTTTTTAAATTAAAATTACACACATTTTCTCATTTGTTCGTTTGACATGAATTCGAGAGTGTATTTCACGCGAGGTGGGCTGATGAGGTCTGGTGTTTAATTGACCTACTTTATTGAAGGCTTGAAGTGTCCAACTGAAAATGGGGTCAGTTGAGGTGTCTGGCTGACCGTTGAGGACAACATGAAGGGGTCGTTTATGTATTTCGCCTTATTTTTACTCTAATTGGGAGTATCAATCTAGAAGATTGACATTAGGCATTTATGCTTGATTGATACAAAGGTCATTTTTCCACAAAGATACTAATAAATCTGTTAGGACCGAAAAAAGTCAGGTGTCATGCGGAAGCTAGTAAAGAAACACTTGAACGACGATAAACCACACAACAAAAGAGAAATATACCACAAGAGACACAAGCATTTAACGTGGTTCGGTCAATTGACATACGTCCACAGCGGAGATGAGCAATCCACTATATAAAAAGAGAGTACAAAATATCGAGAGAACAACCTCACAAAGAGGCAAACACACATGACACACTAACACTTGTCCCGTAAAGTTCTCCCCCTAAACACGACTCTCAAGCCCCATATGGCTACATTGTGAATGCTACTGCATGAGAAAGACGGATCTTCAATTTATAGAACTCCAAACCTTTTCTTACAAGAAAAAGGACTAGCCAAATATGGAAGAATAATTTTCTTTCTAGGAAAAGAAAAACCCTATGGTAAATATGTTGTCATTTCCTTCATGAGATAGGAAAACAAATTATGGTAAGAAAATCTAGACAAACACCTAACAAAATCTAGTTATGTTTTTGACACCTAAAGATAATAAAAACTCTTTTATATTGTAAAGTTAAATTCATTTCTTTTTTATCAAAAAAACAGCTGGAATCAAAAGGAATCACGAATCTGCTAAGAAAACCTAGAGACAAAGCAAAAGAAAACAAACGTAGCTTTTGGAGCGAGCTGTAGAAAAACCCTTTTTATGTGTTAAAACACATAAAAAGTAGAGCCAATCAGAAAGAAGAAAACAAAAGGGAAGCAAAGGCATTCTCATTCTTATTATTAAAGTAATTAATCTTTAAATTCATCTTCTCGTGCATGTTTCATATCGATGCTTTGACTTGCCCTTTTCACTTTCACTGCATCTGCATGTGATCAGATTCAGATTCCGATCTCTTCTCTACACCCACGCCTTCCTCGGCGCATTTGCTGCCTCATAAGTGAGGATTTTAACTTAATAGATTTTGAATTGCAGCACCACGATATATTTATTAATTGGGTTCTAAATTAATATTTGTATATATTTAATAAATTTTTAATATAAATATATTATTTGAGCAAAAACTAGTTCAGCCGAACCCGTAACGGATTCTAGCATTGTCTATATAGAGAGAGAGAGACACGGCTATTGTTAATATAATTTTATCACCAAAAACAAAGACAATTATAAACTTTAAAAGTATGTTGCTGGTAATGAGCTCCAAAATTTAAGATATTTTTTCGGCCAGGGTGCTAAAATCCAAAATAAAAAAACTAGCTGAGTTTCAGTAAAAGAGAACGAGGGGAAATGTACATATGGTGGTGGAGTTTACTATATGCATGGTCTGTAATAACAAGAATGGAAGACAAATTTGCCGTCTCTCAGACCTTACACTACTTTATGCTAGACACATTGCAAATTGTCATTTGTTTTGCCTAATTCAATTTTTGAGACCCAATTATTAATTTAATATTTGTAATGTGGCCTATCCAATGCTCTGGTTTATTAATTATTCTTAGCCTCTGTAGTGACAATAAGACAAAAACTAAGCACAATGAAAATTCAGAATCTATACATAGAATATGAAAGCAACTAGGGGTGTTTATAAAAATTCGAAAACCCGAACCAAACCGAAAATCAAATCAAACCGACCAAAAAAACCGATACTTTTTGGTTTGGTTTGGTTTTGAATTTTAAAAACCGATCAAATTTGGTTTGGTTTTGGTTTTAATCAGAAAAAAATCGAACCAAACCGACTATAGGAGTAGCTATTTCAAATTTATTATTACACCTATATATGTATATTGTTATACGAAGTTTCAAAAAATTTATGGTAAATGTTTATAGTTTGCACTTTTAATATAGTTCTTTACCTTTACATTATAGTTTGATTGGTAGTTTTCTTTTGTTTAGTGTAAGAATCCATTTCGTGTTAAAAATAACATATTTTTAATCGAGTCCTTAAATTATTCATCACTATTTGATTCAATTATCATCAATATATCTTGGTAAATAATAGATTTCTCAAAGGGCAATTGATTTGATAGTGTTACATTGAAAATTTGGTCGCCGGAATATGTGTTTGGTAGTGTATGTCTTATATTTAAGAAAAAACCGACAAATAACTGAAAAAACCGAAAAACCGACATAAACCGAATCGAGAAAAACCGAATTAATTGGTTTGGTTTGGTTCTAATATTTGAAAAACCGACTTACTTGGTTTGGTTTCTTTTTAGGGAAAAACTGATCCAAACCGAACCATGAACACCCCTAAAAGCAACTGGCGAAATGAACTTCAGTAGCCCCCTACCCCCCCCCCCCCCCCCCAGATAATGAAGAAATTGGACAATAAAATTGTAGAAATTTTGTTATTATGTATTCACAATATCTTGCCTATCTTTATACAAGTAATTAATTAGCTAAATCAAAATGTAAAAATAAAATAATGTTGTACACTTGTTCAATTCCTATTCCCTAACACTATAACAGAAAAACTAAAATATTCCCTAACATGTGCTCTCATAACCTCTTCTGTACAGCTGGATTTGCCATATCAATGGCTCAAATTAAGTAGCTTCAAAGGCTGAGATGCTTCCATGTGTATAATCAGATGAGCAAAATATAAGAGAGATAGACACGACATTTATCTAGAAAGCTTCGAAGTCCTTTTGCTATGTCTGAAACCTCTCTTCTTCTTCATTTCTATATAAGATGAAATCCCATTCATCTTCCTCGTTTTTGCTTCATCTTCTTGCAAATTATTATGGGGTTTTATCTTAACATCCCTCCTCAAGTTGGAGGGTGAAGAGACAACCCCCAACTTGGGCAAGATCTGATGGTGAGAAACGCCAGTTAGAGGTTTGGTGAAGAGATCGGCGAGCTGAAGCTTCAAGGGAAGGAAAGAGGTACCGTTGCCGGACGAAGTGGCAATCCAGCTCTACATGCTTCGTACTTTCGTGGAAAATGTGATTACGAGCAATGTATATGACTGCTTGACTGTCTGAGTGGACTGTGACCAGCAAAGTAGGAGGAGCAGAGAGATCAGCGAGGAGACGAACTAGCCAAGTTATCTCTGCAGTGACACGCCTCATTGAGCGATACTTTGCCTCAGCGGAGGATAATGAAATCGATACATATTTCTTCGATTTCCATGAAATTGGAGCTCCCCCTAGAGTGATGAAGAACCCACTAACAGAATGGCGAGAATTATTGCAAGCATCCCAGTCGGCATCGCAAAAGGCAAGCAAATCAAGAGAGGGATTTGCAGATAGAAGGATGCCTTATGTTGAATCTGAATTCAAATATCGCAAAACACGCAGCCCAGCAGAAAGATATGACATTGAGGGCTTTTGCATGTACTGGCTTAGAGTGAGCACAGCAAAGTAGATGTCTGGGCGGGTGTTTGTGAGGTAATTAAGCGTACCAACAAGGCGCCGCTAGATTGTAGGGTCAGCCGATGGGGGTGTCAATTCAAGGTACAATTTAGAGGAAGGATCGAGTGGTGAAGATACAACAGCTCCTGAACAACCAAATTCCTCTAACAATTCTAAGGTAAACTTCCTCTGATTAATAATGAAACCTTGTGGTTCCTGATAATTTCCATCCCCAAAAAATAGTGAATGTCCCCCAAGTTCTTGACCTTAAACTCTGAATTGAGAAAATTAGTAATATGGTTGATTTCTGCAAATTCATTCCCTTTAAGTAGTATATCATCCACGTAAACTGCTAAAATAGAAATGAGACTTTCATTTTGTGTGAAGAACAAAGAATAGTCATTTAGGGAAGCTGAATATCCCTTGAAACTAAGAGCACCTGCCAGTCTAGCATACCACTGTCTAGACGCCTGCTTCAATCAATAGAGAGACTTCTTCAAAAGACAAACTTGATTAGGTTTAGGTGGAGATAGGCCAGTAGGAAACCTCATGTAGTTGAGACACTTTCCAACCCTTCTTCACTGTCACGGTCAAGAGACATCTGATTGTGGTCATTTAGACCACAGGTGAGAATGTCTCAGAATAGTCAATGTCTTCTCTTTGAATATCCCCCCTTACCACCAATCGTGCCTTTAACCTTTCAATGGAACCATCTAATTTGTGCTTTACCTTGTATACCCACTTACAAGGTATAACTTTCTTGCCTTGTGGCAAGTCCACAAGATCCCATGTATTGTTAAGATCAAGAGCTGCTAGCTTTGCCTCCATAGCCTTTCTCCAACCTGCATCCTGAGAAGCTTGGGCATAACTGTTAGGTTCTGAAATAGAACATACTGATCTTAAAATATTCTGACTATTGAGTGACAAAGCTGCAAAGGATAGGGTAGTGGGATGAGATGCATGGTTGAAACAAGAGGAAGTAATGTCAGAAAGAAAAATCTCATTGCATACATAGTCCTTTAGATATCTAGGCTGCTAAGAAATCCTTTCGAATTTTCTGATAGGTGGAGGAGGTATAGGGATAGTA